TTCATCACTCTGCACACCTACCCTCTGGTAAACTAACGTAACTATGGAAAATCAGCATTTTTAATGGGTAAATCCACTACCAGAGGGTAATACAGATTGATCTTGCGCTCCAATCTTGGGAGACACATTTGACTGAGGTGATGCTCAGTGGACCAGCAAGTTGTCTTATCAAGCCTCTCCCATTGGTTGTCTTCCCACCGGTTTCATTTGTAGCTGGTACATTTCCCATAGTAGTTAAGAGAGTTAAGTTATCCACATTATATATATATATCTATCTATCCCCATCAAATCGCTATTATCGCTATTATATCATATTATATCCCCATGTTTGCTTAAATCGCTGTGAAATCCCTGTTTGTTACTATATTTTGGTGCCTCTCCCCAACCAAATGAAAGGAGGAAGCCAAGCGGGCCAAGCGCGAGGAGAAGAGTGGCAAAGCCCGGCCAGTGCCATGGCGTTTTCGGAATCAGAAAACATGCGGTCCATGAGGAATGACGATGTTCCCATTCAAACCCCCATGTGTAAATCATTTGGTTACAGTATACCCCTTGTTATTATAAGATCCCATTAATAGACTATGTTCTGATTTGAATGATATTGTTATTATTCCAGTAGTACCGCAGCACCGCACAAGGCGGTGGCGAGCTGCCATGCGACTGTTCCAATCCCACCAGCTGTCCATTACTGCCCTTGAGATCTACACATTTGTTGAGTTTTGGATTTTGCCAGGTAGCTTCCCTGCACATTTCTCGTTCATTCCATTTTCCGGATCATATCTTCGCTTTCTTGATGGGGTGTGCCTCCAGATTTGCTGCAAAAAATAATCCGCTCAATTTTGTGCCACCTTTACATGAGTTCATTTGATTGAGTGATGCTTGCATTCAAATTAAATGGCATTCGCCTACGCCGTCTTCGCCCAGTTTCTTAGCTTGGAGGTGGCTGCGTTGTTGGAGAAAAAAAAAGGAAGTTTCAAAAAAAGGAAACCTATAGGAGAGGTTGGTTGTTGTGAATCAGGGATGGCAGAGCGAAGCCACTGATGGACTGAAAGGTGCTTGAGGTCTCCTCTCTTTCTCTTTCTTTCTCTCTTTTTCTCTCTGTTTTTCTATCTTTCTCTGATTATCTACCTACCTACCTACCTACCTACCGACCTACCTACCTACCTAATGATCTATCTCTCTACCTATCTATCTGTCTGTCTGTCTATCTATCTCCCTATCTATCTATCTACCTACCTATCTATCTAGCTGTCTTTTTTTTTAAGCTATTTGTCTATCTATCTCCCAATCTATCTATCTATCTTTCTATCTATCTACCTATATCTATCCATCTATCTTTTTATTTAGCTGTATCTCTATCTATGTGTCTGTCTGTCTATCTGTCCATCTAACTATCTATCTATCTATCTGTCTGTCTGTCTGTCTGTCTATCTGTCTAGCCATCTATCTATCTGTCTGTCTGTCTGTCTGTCTATCTGTCTACCTGTCTATCTGTGGTGCAGTGTCATTCAGTGTAATGTAGTGTAGTGTAGTGTAATGTAGGGTAGTGTAGTGCAGGGTAGTGTAATGTAGTGTAGTGTAGTGTAATGTAGTGTAGTGTAGTTTAGTGTAGTGGAGTGTAGTGGAGTGTAGTTGTGTAGTTGTAGTGTTGTGGAGTGCAGTGTAGTGTAGTGCAATGTAGTGAAGTGTAGTGGAAGGTAGTGTAGTGAAGTGTAGTGGAAGGTAGTGTAGTGTAGTGTAATGTAGTGTAGTGTAGTGTAATGTAGTGTAGTGTAATGTAGTGTAGTGTAGTGTAATGTAGTGTAATGTAATGTAGTGTGGTGGAAGGTAGTGTAGTGTAATGTAGTGTAGTGTAGTGGAGTGTAGCGTAGTGTAATGTAGTGTAGTGTAATTGAGTGTAATCGAGTGTAGTGTATTCGAGTGTAGTGTGGTGTAGTGGTGGTTGTGGTTGAAAATGCTACAAAACCTTCACGTTTTGGTCACTTTTGACAAGGTGCACAATCCCTTGCGCCTGCCACGCGAAACAACATCTGAACCTCCAAAAGTGGCGCAAACATGTGGTGTTTTGTACATTTTGAATTCGAAATGTGCTTCGTGCCACAACGGCGTGCACTTTTTCGACATCTCAACTGCCAAAAGTGGTCCGCACCCCTAGTGTTTTGTGCAGTTTGACTTGGAAATGTGCTTCGCGCCACAACGGCATGCACTTTTTCGACATCTGAACTTCCAAAAGTGGTCCGAGAATGGTGTGTTTTGTACATTTTGACTTGGAAATGTGCTTTGTGCCACAACGGCGTGCACTTTTTCGACATCTCAACTTCCAAAAGTGGTCCGACAATGGTGTGTCTTGTGCATTTTGACTTGGAAATGTGCTTCGCGCCACAACTGCGTGCACTTTTTCAACATCTCAATTTCCAAAAGTGGTCCGAACGTGGTGTGTTTCGCACATTTTGACTTGGAAATGTGCTTCGCGCCACAACGGCGTGCAATTTTTTATCTCTCATCTGGCCAGCTGGGTTCGCACCCGCCGCTTTAGCGAGCCTACTTTTCAACCCTCCGGAGCCACAAATCATGGGAAAAACACAGTGTTTCGCGACTTCCCCACCTTTTCGCGCATCTGCATCTTCTTTCTTCTGACTCTTTCTCTTCTACTCTTCTCTCTTCTAATCTTTCTCTTCTCTCTGACCCTTTCCATCTCTGCTTTTCATCTGTCCATATTGTCGGAAGTTTGACTTCTAAACTTCCTTCGCGCATATACTAATATACTAACCCAATATAACCCAATCTAACCCACATAGTAAGCATACCATTGCATATCCCAATAAATACATCTCCCATATACTAATATGTGTATATATATTTATATATATTTATAATATATATGTATATATATATATTAACCCATTATATTGTTACACATCCCCAAACTATGACACCTACAGTGACGGACAACTGCTTAGAACATCATTTGGAAAAAATCTGAAAATCGTCACAGCGGGGATGTTCTAAGTATGGGTTTCAAAAAAAGTAGTTTTAACATACCCAAAACCTATACTTAGAACATTTCCAAGCTATACTTAGAACATCCCAGTGGGGAACCAATGGGAACCATACATATATGTATGTTCGAAGTATTTGTCCGTCGCTTTTAACATCATATGTGTGTGTGTGAACAGCGGCAGTGGTACACTGGTACACATATAGTTCCACACATTTCCACAGCACAGTTCGCAATGTGGGTTTCCACGGCACAGTTGTCCATTGTATACATGAAGCATCTCCAAAACATTCAAAATTATACATAATACATTAATTCATTCTAGCTCATTTTAGTATTGAAACCTATGCTTTTTGACTACGCCCTGTAGGAAACCCACAAATTACTAGAGACCTTCCCATTGCAGCGAAGACTGCTTGGGATATTGTTCCCGAAGAAAAGGTATAGAATGCTGCAGCAGTGAGGGGAGAAAGTGTTCTAAGTATGGTGTTCACCAAGGTATTTGTATGTATATATGCAGATTTACCAAAGTAACAGGACATGTTCTAAGTATATGTGTGTTTTAATGTTCTAAGTATGCAAAAATCAATGGAGATGTTCTAAGTATCTGTTTTTCTGATGTTCTAAGTGCGTACTTAGAAACATTTCTGATGTTCTAAGTATGGTAATTTTGATGTTCTAAGAGGAGGTTTCGAAATTTTGGAAAATTGATGTTCTAAGTACATGTCCGTCACTATATCCCATATATAATGATAATAGTAAAAATAACAACAACAATAAAAATAAACATTCTATATATATATATAGAAAGACTTCATGATCCCACATATCCCATTGAAATACATAAAACAATACTATATCATACTACACCCATATAATAACCCATCAGTTACCCACTGAGTTCCGGGATTTCAAAGGGCCACCGAGGTCGTCTTCCCAGCGGTGGAGGTGGCCACCCGTCCCGGCTCCGAGACGGAGCCGGAGGCGGAGGCGTCGGAGTCCAGCGAAGTCAGCGAAGTGGCCACTGGGTGGAGGAATGAATGGGCGAAACATGTGGAAAGATGTGGAAATGTAACATGGTCATATATATATGTTATTAATATATGATTTATATGATTTATATGATTTATATGATGATATGAATGTTGAAGAGATTGCAAAGCAGAATTAATGTATTGAATTGTTTAATCATGTTTGCATGTTCTTTCAGAACAATTTGAGAACATAACTTGAATGAATCTTGCCCGAAATAGTTGTACCTGAATTATGTTTAGTTCATGGCTGGCTCAAGTACCCAAGGAATGTTCCATAGATAGCCGATATCATGCATTGGATGATATCATGAATATTACTGTACCCAATCATTCCGGTTGGGTTTCAGTTTTGAGGTTACCCTGATGATGGCTAAAAAGACAACGCGTACTAATGTTACAGGGAATTACTCAACAGAAATAAATGGGTACAATATGGTATATGTACAGTAATAATCAACCATCATGGGACGGAGCTAGGAATTATATAAACTATTCAGACACGAAGAAATAGAATTAGAATCCCTCAAACTGACATACACTATGAAAGTTTCTAGAACAAAGCATCTTCCAGCACCCTATGTGGCAGGGTTTGTGTTGGTTGGGAGGGTACGCTTTCAGCACGTGGCTGGCTGGCTGTAAGTGGATGATGTTCCATTGCCAGGATTGATTACCGGACGGTATGTCATACATTTTTCATGTGTCAGCTACAGTACCATATCATAGCAATTACGGCCTACACATACAATATTGACTGCAAAGTGTTACATCACTCCAATCCATATGATCTATGCACAGCCATTTGTTTTGCTATGATATATACATATGATCATTACACATAGGTACATTCTTAGTTTCATATGTGTCATTTCTATACTTCTATACAGGTTTGTCAAAGATGAATAGGTGAAATGTTACGGTGAACCCCAAGGCATCCAGCATCGCCAGAGGTAGCTGTTTGCGGTGCATCAAATCGTGCATCTATCCTCCAGCTGCTCACTGGATGGCTGGGCTCCGTTCGGGCGGAGGAGTCCTGTCACAAGGCAAGGCGACACGAGGGGTATACGTTCAAACAAACCCATATTGTTGGCTTTTACTCTCTCCCAATTTGAGGGCGGTTCTGTGACCGGTCCACATTTCAATGTTGCTTTTCCAAACTTCGATGTTTCTTGCCCTTTTTTTGTTCTTGTCATTGTTCTTGTTGTTGCTGTTGTTGCTGTTGTTGCTGCTGTTGTTGTTGTTGCTGTTGTTGTTGCTGTTGTTGTTGCTGCTGTTGTTGTTGTTGCTGTTGCTGTTGCTGTTGCTGCTGTTGTTGTTGCTGTTGTTGTTGTTGCTGTTGTTGCTGTTGTTGCTGTTGTTGCTGTTGTTGTTGCTGTTGTTGTTGTTGCTGTTGTTGTTGATTGTTGATTGTTGGCCTTGTTGTTGGCCCTGTTGTTCTGCCTTGTTATTCTGTCTAGTTGTTCTTCTTGGTTGTGGTTGTGGTTGCGGTTGCGGTTGCGGTTGCGGTTGTGGTGGTGGTGGTGGTGGCGGTGGCGGCGGCGGCAGTGGCGGTTGTGGTTGTGGTTGTGGTAGTTGTTGGTTGTGGTTGTGGTTGTGGTGTTGTTGTTGTTGTGGTTGTGGTTGTGGTTGTGTTGTTGTTGTTGTTGTTGTTGTTTTTTTTTGTTGTTGTTGTTGTTGCTGTTTTGTTGTTGTTGTGGTTGTGGTTGTGGTTGTGGTTGTTGTTGTTGTGGTTGTTGTGGGTGTGTTGTTGTTGTTGTGGTTGTGGTTGTTGTTGTTGTTGTTGTTGCTGTTGTTGTTGTTGTTGTTGTTGGTCTTGGTCTTGGTTTTTGTCTTGGTGTTGGTGTTGGCTTGGTGTTGTTGTGGTTGTGGTTGTGGTTGTGGTTGTTGTTGTTGTTGTTGTTTGTTGTTTTGTTGTGTTGGTTGTTGTTGTTGTGGTTGTGGTTGTGGTTGTGGTTGTGGTGGTTGTGGTTGTGGTTGTGGTGGTTGTTGTTGTTTGTTGGTTGTTGTTGTTGTTCTTGCTGTTGCTGTTGTTGTTGTTGTTTTAGATACACGAACCCCACATATATTTGATCCAACCGCACTGATATGGAAAGCAAACTGTCCCAATTGTTAGGTTCTTACATGCCAATCCTACCAACTCCAGTGCGAGATCCTGGACACTGTTTGAATATCCGGTTGCGGACTACTTGAGAGTCTTATATAACATGCCTTTCTGGACAGGCACTTGTTGAAAGTTATCTACCTTACGTTTATGTTCAGTGATTCTCATTAGATCCTGGATCATCCCATTTTAATGTCCGTGCGTCCCCAACGCTGAGTTTCGACAAAGGTGGTGAATGCCAACTACTGGCACTACCGCCGCAATGAGAATGCATGTTGGCGCTTGATCCTCGACTCCACTCTACTGGATACAGGGCCAGTTTCAGCAAAACGGAACAAATGTATTCTGTTATATTTGTTTGCCATAAATGGATGTATAATGTATAAATGATTATGTATTGTGAATCAACTTTGGGAAAACTGCAAGGTCCATGAAACTGAGACTTCTCGAAAAGATGGTGCTCCAAAGTATCGGACTACCAACAATCATCCAACCATCCCCAACCATCATTAATCATCCTCGACCTTTTAACACCCATCAACCATCTTAGACTATCCTCAAATATGGTATGAGTATTTCACCCTCTCATCTTCGCTATCATCTTAAACAAAAAAAAATCACAGTTGGACATTAATCAAATCACACCTATTTACTCAATGATCTTGCCATATGGGGAAAGAACATCATGAACACCCAGAACCAGACTGTTTTGTGTGTTCACTGAACAGATTCCACCAGAAGTTTGCCCAATGGCCACAGGAGCTATCTCCAATCCCACCAGCCGGGGCTCTTCGACACAGCCGTCTCGAGCTCGGCCGTTTCAACCGCGCCCAATCCCTGGATGCCGCTGCCGGAGCTGGAGCCGGACGGGAGGGAGCCACAGCTGCTGGCGAACAACATGACCGTGGCTGGTCCTGGGATGGCGGGTTGCTAGAGGTATCCATAGGTATCCAATTCCCTATAAAATGGGGAGCCAAGGAGCCACAAAGAGTTTCCCAACCATCTGATAGTGAAGCTGGGAGATGTGTGAGATTGAGAGTGGTTGAGTGAAGCTGCTTGAGGATGAGGATATTTGGACTGCAAGATTGGTCGAGGGATGTCGAGGGTAGAGTTTTTGGGCTGTTTTGCGGTCCATGCTCCCACTTTTTGCATCTTTCACATGGTTTGAAGTGACATAAGCACATGGGTCCATGGGTTTTTAGTATCTTTTGACCACATAATATACGTACGCATAAATACGTACAGTATATATATATACACATTAATGTATACGTGTATATTAATATATTATATATGATGTATATTATATACCCTCTGGTAATTTAACATAACTATTGAAAATGGCCATTTATAGTGGATTTTCATTGGATTTCCCCATTAAAAATTGTGATTTTAACATAGTTATGTTAGTTTACCAGAGGGTAGTCCTCAACATCCTCAACATCCAGGTGGAGCCCCCGGGCTTGGAACCCGAGCTGTCGGACACCTCGCTGTGGCGCCACCTGCTGCGGGGAACGCACGGCTTCTCGCTGCAGGGCCCGGGCGCTTCCCCGGTGAGTCTCTTCCCCGAAGCGCCTGAGGTGGCGAGGACGGGGACGGAGGAACGGATGAAAATTGCATGGATGTATATATAATATAATATTATCTATATATACATAATATATACATGTATACATAATGTATATATATATATGTATGTATATATATATATATATGGATATATATAATATAATATAATATAATATAATATGATATTAGATATAATCGGGGATTTAATGCCATTTATCTGGTTGAATGATGCGACCTCACTGCGTTTTGCGACACTGGAATGCTGGTTGGGATTTGGGGAGTTATCCCTGCATGGCCGCAAGTTTCAGCTATAACTCAGCCAGATATATCGTGGGGATGACCTGGGGGTCACGGCCTCTTTATGTGGTGGGGTTGTGAATGTGAAATTGACATGACCCCAGCTGGTAATGATAATGATAACTGATAAGGGTTACAACTGATTATAACATATACAGTATAATGCGGGTAATTCAGAATTCACCTCTTTTAATGCAATATCATGATTTATAATTTTGGACATTGTTGATTGGACGCTGATTGGTGTGTGGGAATCCTCCCCATCCCCAGGGGGCGCTCTAAGTCTATTGATGACCATGTTTGTTGGGACATGTTGGGACCAAGTTTGGGGTCATGAATCTAAGGAAGGATTTTAGTTCAGTTGAGCAGTGTTCAAAACCCCTGTTGGTTGATGATTATAGGACGTTATATTACCTGATATAAAGATGAATATAATCATCCTGTCTTTCTGTATGTCCTTTGTTTTTTGTTTGTCCTTTCTTACTTTTGTCTTTCCTGTTCCTTTCTTTTTGTGTGTTTGTTGTGACGGGGAACCTTTACATTCAAAGCATACAAGATGAATGGTGCCAAGTAAGATACAACACCCGTAATCTGTAGTCAAGGATTCGTACTGTATATACATTTGGGGGTTTAGAAAGCACCTCACAAGAAGGTCTTCGGCAGAATAGAGCATCACCCAAACAAACCATCGGTCAGTATTTGGGTGGCTCATTGGGTATCAGAAAGAAATTTTGTTTGGCAGGCTTTGTTTTTTTTTTATGTTTGCTGATGTAATGAAATTGATTCTTTGGAGATCCTTGGCATTTTTAAAACCATGGTGCTTGTAAGCTACAAAAGGCACCAGTACTGGAGCGGTACCTTTTAGGAAGCACATCAAAAGCACATCTATCTAAGAGAAAACAATAGCACAACAGAGCACCACTACACATCAGAGTACAATATTAATACCACATTTTGGTATAAACAAGGGCCAATATATAGATTATTTATACATATACGGCTTGTACTACATATAGATATGACTTGTATTATATATATATCACTTGTATTATATAGTACGATATATGAGCAACCGTAAAAAACCCGGCAATACTAAATATGTATTCGACGGACCTTCCCAAATTTGTGGATGTCCTTTCGGTGAACCTAGGGTTTTCACAATCGCTCATATAAATATGACTTGTATTATATATCGTGTACAGTACATACCACTCTATATATATAGAGGAAATTGGTTGATGACGCTTCCTGTGATTGCTAAGTTTCTTGGCTAAAGTCTCTACATGTTTTAACTATAAGATGATGATCCCTGACTGGCGAATTGAATTGATACATTTCAGATTTATATACATTATACAGATATGTATCCAATTTATGTATACCAAAGTTATTTAGAAACATTTAGATTATCTATATAGTGATATTGATTGTAATCTTTATATTTATATCAACAATATATACAGTATATAAATATATATATATTGAAAACTGGTGATATTGATATTGATTGGGACCCCCTACAACAAACATCAACAAACATATATTCCCAGTAGATTCATCAAATCCAAGACAAGTGGCTTGAGTGATTTCACAAGTGGATGGTGTTGTTGGTCAATTGTTTCCTGACATGTTCATCCCTACAGTTTGTTTGTTTCTAATTTATAATAGATAACATGCACAAATCTACATAATCTATTGATCCAATTTCCTGAAGGTCTATAGAAATAGATCTATCGGACATGGCCTGACTTCCAGGACGGCTCGTGTTCGCCAGCGCAACGCCGGTTGGCGTCGCTGGTGGCTGTCCTTTCGGAAGATGCGGGAGGTCGGGGGCTGGTTCCTGGTTGGGATGTCTGGGGATTATGAGTTGGATCAGCAGGAGCTTTAGATGAAGTATGATAACTGCTAGTTGGTTGACAGTTTTCCCCAAGTGCGTAACATTGCCTAACATCCTAACATGATTGTAGTTGGTTGAACTAATCAGATAAGGGTACTGTACGGGTACTGTAACCGTAAGGGTTACTGTTACAGTGCCCTGAGTTACGGTTCCCTACAGTAGCTGGTTATTGGGAGGAGTTACAGTTCCTAAGCCATGTCGGAGAAAGTTATCAACCAACTTGCATATTGAGATGGGATGTTTTTGTTTTAATGGTTCAAGTATATCTGTAGTACAATATGGATATTATGGGGATATGATAAGAATATTCTCAGAATACTATGGTAGAGTCATAATTTATCGGGGATATGAACATGTTGACAATAGTGAAATATATTTGCGTGTGTCTGAGAATGGTTTATACCCGCCAAATGGCAATTAGTGATGGACATGTTCAGTCAAACCCATGTATATTATATGTCGTATACGACTCCGGTATGCGTATTCAAAATACAGCGTACCTAGATACGGTACGTACTACTAATTAATATAGTAGATATCTGTATGTGTATATATATATATATATGTATAAACTATATATATGTACCATGTATAGACATACTAGTGTCTTTTTGATTTAAATATGTTTGTTGTACATTTGTGGTTTTCTTTGATATGATTCTATGGCATATGTACTAAATATGTCAAAAACAATTTTGGTAGGGCGAAACATCGACAGTTTCTGGTTGCTGTGTTACATCCTCTGGGCGGAGGTTCCGATGGTCAGCTGGTCACCCAGAAAAGTGATAGCCCACCTCAACTTCGAATCCCAGGGCGTGAAAAAACTATCCTTAAGACTCCATCCATTTCAATCCATAGTTTTCTAAGAGTTTTCTGAGAATCCATGAGAATCAAACTGATCAAACTGATCAAACTGATCAAACTGATCAAACTGATCAAACTGATCAAACTGATCAAACTGATCAAGCTGATCAAACTGATCAAATTGATCAAACTGATCAAATTGATCAATTTGATCAAATTGATCAAATTGATCAAACTCATCAAACTCATCAAACTCATCAAACTCATCAAACTCATCAAACTCATCAAACTCATCAAACTCATCAAACTCATCAAACTGATCAAATTGATCAAATTGATCAAACTGATCAAACTGATCAAATTGATCAATTTGATCAAATTGATCAAACTGATCAAACTGATCAAACTGATCAAACTGATCAAACTAAGCAAACTGATCAAACTGATCAAACTGATCAAACTGATCAAACTGATCAAACTGATCAAACTGATCAAACTGATCAAACTGATCAAATTGATCAAATTGATCAAACTGATCAAACTGATCAAACTGATCAAACTGATCAAACTGATCAAACTGATCAAATTGATCAATTTGATCAAAGGGGTCAAACTGATCAAATTGATCAAACTGATCAAACTGATCAAACTGATCAAATTGATCAAATTGATCAAATTGATCAAATTGATCAAATTGATCAAACTGATCAAATTGATCAAATTGATCAAATTGATCAAATTGATCAAACTGATCAAATTGATCAAACTGATCAAATTGATCAAATTGATCAAATTGATCAAATTGATCAAATTGATCAAATTGATCAAATCATTGATGATTCCCAGGATGATTCCCATGTTTTTCCCGTTGTATGGCCAGGCTGACACAGCCGTGGATGACACGAAGTGTTCGGAGCCTTCGGTGCCGGCGGTTCCAATGCTTCTGATGCCACTCAGCTGGGATGGGTCCCGGGGTCCCGGGGTCCCAAGAACTATGAAAAAACGGAACAAAAATCACCAGAATTGTAGGATTTTCATGGAGTTTGCAGAGATTGTTGTTGATTTTTCGCGATTTCTTGGGAGATTTTCCGGATGACTGGTTTAACCAAGAACATGAGGAAACCAGCTCAGTGATAGAGTTTAGCCTGCACAATCCACCTTGCCTGTGTGTTCATTTATGGATGATTTTCAATCATATGTTCATATTTGTTGTGTTCATTTATGGATGATTTTCAATCATATGTTCATATTTGTTGTGCCCAATCGATATGTGTGCCTCCAAGATGATCCTGGAGGGGGCTATATATTTATTCCCTTCCTCCTAATACTAAACCCCCCCCTAATACAAAACACGGCAGGTAGTTTTTAGTATTAGGGGGGTATTTATTATTAGGGAACCAAATCGAAGTCATGTTAATTAGTTATTCATGCATTAGAATGGAGGAAGGGATTATTCATTTTATACAGATTTCTAAGTAATTCTAATTAATTAATTAGATGCATAATTATGTTAAATAAATTAAAACCCTTAATAATAAAAACTATTTTTCCGATCTCAAAATCAATTAAATTTCCTTATATAACGCAATTAAAATATTGCCAAAAATGGCAGTTCGAAGCTTACCCCTGATACTAAATTAAAACCCTTAATAATAAAAACTATTTTTTCCGATCTCAAAATCAATTAAATTTCCTTTTATAACGCAATTAAAATATTGCCAAAAATGGCAGTTCGAAGCTTACCCCTAATACTAAATTAAAACCCTTAATAATAAAAACTATTTTTTCCGATCTCAAAATCAATTAAATTTCCTTATATAACGCAATTAAAATATTGCCAAAAATGGCAGTTCGAAGCTTACCCCTAATACTAAATTAAAACCCTTAATACTAAAAACTATTTTTTCCGATCTCAAAATCAATTAAATTTCCTTATATAACGCAATTAAAATATTGCCAAAAATGGCAGTTCGAAGCTTACCCCTAATTGCTAGATTAAGCCAGGCAGCTTGGATTTGGGGAGTAGGACTAGCCCCCCTAATACTAAACACCCCGGGATGAATTAGTTTTTAGTATTAGGGGGGAGAACCCACAAATGGTAGGTTGATTTTTGAATTGTTTTTTAAAGGGGATCAATTAAAAGTCAAATTGGCCAAACTGAAATTTTCGGAAATTGGAGATGGATGCCTGTTTTTAGTATTAGGGGGACGTTTAGTATTAGGAGGAAGGGATTATAGGAGTAATACCTGGCCGCCCGGCCCGTGGGCGATGAATTGGTGAGAGCCAAGATGACTGAGGTATAGATTATCATTTTTCTTTAATCAAAAACACTTCAGATTCAACAGTTGGGACTGGAGCTGGGGTCACCCAACCCCTAGAAATACTGGGGTGTCATCACCATGGCTCATGAGGCCTGTTCCAGTGCACCTTTGCTGGAAGGTCCAGCAGTACATTGAAGAACTGCAACGAGAAGAATGGAACCAGAATGGGAGCCCCATGGCAGCATGCTATGCTTGTACCATTATGATTCTTGGTGTATGTGTAGAAAAGTAGCTGTGGAGTGACCTCAATTACTGAGTCTTTGATTGGTGGACATTGAAGAAACTAATTAACATGGAATCATTTGAGAGCAAAGGGAAACATTGCAAATATATGCAAATATACGAGGCTACGTGATGATACCCTTTCTGATGTTTGAAGTTTTGTGTGCAGACACTGGTTGTCTCCGGCAGGAGCAACGCAGCAAATGAGCTCAAATTCAAATGTTGAGCAAGTTATTTGGACTTAGAGATACTTAGCACACGAGTTGGTTTTAAGACTTTTGGCTTTGAAGTGGACAAAGCAGGGTTTCCTTCGGATTGTACATAGTTGAAGGGTATCTGATGAAGTTGTACATAGAATGTGCCCAGTTCGTTCGCTTGCCGGATTTAGCAGACCTGGCACAGAAAATGCAGCATCAGCAAAGGTGCGGGCTGCTGTGCGAAATTCAAACAGAAACATAGCGATGGGGCCAATCATGTCGCTATAGCCTAAAAAACAATGTAGAGCTATCCATGATTATCCATGCCAGCGGCTTTTGTAGACCATTGATGCCAAAGCAAGGTTTCTATGTCCAACGTATGAGTCCGTGCAGGTGAAATTTACAGACAACTTTTTCCTCTTGCGGGGCAACCACGAATGTGCCACTTGGCATGGCGGAACTTGCAGAAGATAGACCTATCCTAAATTGCCATAGTTTGTCAGGGCCAACAAGAATGCAGCAACTTCCAGGGAAAACAATATTGATGTAGCTTTCCTGGCTGCACTAGAACACCAATCATACTGGGAAAAGGAATGGCTTGCTTGCTTAATCTGTTTGTTTTTGATACACTTGCCAGCATCAAGATTGATATGAGTATGTCTTAAGATTGGGGTACCCCGCCAAATATTGCCATTTGATGCCATTTGAAAATGGAAAATCATGGTACCCTATTCTGAGACAAACCCAATAAATATATAATATATATAAAATTATAAATATAATATATATATAATATTTTATATTTTAATACAATATAATATAATAAAATATAGTATAATATAATATAGTATAGCATAATATAATATAATATAATATAATATACTGTAATATAACATAACATAATATACTGATATAGTGTAATATAACATAAGACGATACACTATAATATGATATAATAATATATTATATATATATTATGATTTTATAAACCATAGGCCATAGGCATGTTGGGATTTGTTAAACCCTCTATTGTTGCAGGGTAGCTTTGGTCGGGGTTTGGTAGCCCCATCAAACCAAGTTTAAGGCCTAAAGGCTGCCGTGTTTGGCCACGATTTCTTCAGGGTCCTTAACTCTGATTGATGTGTAATCATTTAGTGATGTTTTCACCATGTCTTCAACATTTCAAATTTCAGCACTTATAACGATTTGGTCTGATTTCTTTCACAGATTCTTGTCAGGGATTACATCATGGGTCATAAAGATCGCAATGAAACCCGGTTTAGCCTTGTAAGGAAAAAACAATCCGGGAATCAAACATGGCAATTTTGTCAATTCCCCATGTATCGATGATGTTCCCATTCAAACCTCCGTTTATCTCCAATATTTCAGGGATTTACCAACTAGACATGTTTGATTTCCACAGGATAATCCAATGTCAATGGCCATTTCAGGTATACTGTAGCTAAATTGGAGGTCGCCTTACAGTAAGGGCTATGTGCACCCAAAATACGGCTTTACATGGTACAGTAGCTTCACTCAATGGGTCCTGAAGATCTCCCATTGGATATTGGTGCCACAGAAAAAACAACCTGGGTCAAGCATGGTCAAGCCACAACAAGACCAAGGCCTCAATCAATCGCATCTATGGTTTCTATGACGAGTGCAAGCGGCGGTATAGCATCAGGTCGCGACCTCTGGACTGCTGTCGTTGATTTCAGAATGCTTCATATGATGTAATTTTGGGGTCATTGTAGTGGATCAACCCTTATCTTTTATATGTATATATTTGTATATATAATGTGTTATGGCTTTTCTGTTTCGGCAGAGAAAAAGAAACAGTTTCGCACGAGAACAAAACAACTGATCGGTTGTTCCAAAAAACTGATTGGGATGTTCCAGAAAGTTCACATCCAACTTTGCTAAAACAAAGTCCCCAATGGCATGGCCATAGCCTTCAGGTTGTGGAAAACCTTCACTGACTGCTTTAATTGCCTGCCAGTCAGCGCAGCAAGGGAGCTCAGATCGGAGCTGCCTTCGATCATCACTGCAGTGAGTTATATATGTACCCTTTGGTTATTTATTATAGCCATGGAACATGGCCCATTTATAGATGCCTATTAAAAAAGGTGATTCTCCATAGCTACGTTAACACCAGAGGGTATATAGATCATATGATCATGACCATGATTCCATTATTCAGATATATTCGGATAATCTGTGATTATCCCAACATCAAGTTCCTGCTGCCTATTTTTGTGTGATAAAGTCACTGAGCCCACCATTGGTGAGTACAGACTGAACTCTCACTGCCTGGGACTCACCATGCAGGGACTCAGTTGCCAAACCCAAGGAAAAGATAGCAGGAGGATCTGGATTATGGTTGAGATATGTTGATATAAAGCCTCCCAAAATTGATCAAACATGAAATATGATCAAAGCTCGACCATCTTCGACCTCGTCCGCAGTCCAGGACATAGCCCACAGCATTCTGAGGTCATTGAAGACAAGATCCTGTGCATGCACGGTGGTCTTTCACCCGAGTTGGGCGCTCCAGGGTGTGGCGGCCCAGAAAAAATGTTGGTCGTGGGCACAGATGCCGCTGAGTTGAGGGTGCAGGTGGCACCTGGTTGTTTGTTTTGCTTCTTCTTCCTCCAATAAAATTGTATACAAATATTGTATTATTATTAGAAATATATATATATATTAATATATATATATATTAATATATATTTTTATTTACATAATATATAATAACAAACAATATAATATGTAATATATAATATATAATATGTAATATATAATATATAATATGTAATTTGTAATATGTAATATATAATATATAATATATATAATACACAATACACAATACATAATACATAATACATAAAACATAATACATAATATAATACATAATATTTCATATAATATATATATATATATAATATATAATATATATAATACCATATATATGATATATGTAATACATATATATATATGTATACATAATATATATATATATAATATATAATATTATATATTATATATATATATGTGTGTTTTATATTTTTATAATATCACATTTATAGTGTTTAATGTATAATATACAATATCATATATATATAGTTTAATAGATCGAGTATAGTATAAATGTATATAATAAAATATATTATAACATAACATAATATAATATCACCTATTATAATAATAATATATGATATCAACATATAGTTTGTATAATTTGATATAAATATAGTTAATATAGAACATCCTTTGGAAAAATAAGCCTTCACAGCGGGGATGTTCTAAGTACCACTTAGAACATCAGACAAACAACACATACTTAGACCATATCCAACATATATACTTAGAACACATTTCCAATGCACAGTTCACAATGTGGGTTTCCACAGCACAGATTTCCACAGTGTGAATGAGGCACCTCCAAAACAATCAACATGACATAAACCATTTTAGTTCATTTGTGTATTGAAACCTATGCTTTTTGACTACCCCCAGTAGGAAACCTACAAGTTACCAGAGACCTTTCCCCATTGCAGCAAAGACTGCTTGGGATATTGTTCCGCAAGAAAAGGCAATGTTTTTCAGCAGCAGTGAGGGGAGAAAGTGTTATAAGTGCGGTATTCACAATGGTATTTGTGTGTATACATGCAGATTTACCAAAGTCCATGGACATGTTCTAAGTCTAAGTATATGGTCTGTTTATGCTCTAAGTATGCAAGAATCAATGGAGATGTTCTAAGTATATGTCCTTTGGATGTTCTAAGTTCAGTGTCCGTTTATGTTCTAAGTAAGGGGTTGGAAGTTTTGGAAAACATGATGTTCTAAGTAGTTGTCCTCAACTATATAAGTATAATTTGTTATAATATATAATAGTATTATATCATATTAAGATATAATACAATATATTTTGGTATGATCAATAATAATACAATGTATATATATAATACACAATATAATATCATAGACTATCATATATATATGTATGTTTTTTCAAAAAATATATATCACAGATAATTCTCAGATCTGATGCAGTATATAAATTGATTTGATGTATAATATAGTATAAATGAAAATCACTTATGATATAACATATATAATGTACAACACGTGTTTTCATTTATAATCTATAATCATACAATATAATATAATATAACTCAATATAATATTCTATTATGTACTTAATATTCAATATTAAATAACATCATATAATATAGTGCAATATGTTCATATTTTAATTTAATATGATATAATATAATATACACTTAATATTCAATATATTATAACATCAGTTTAACATCATATACTTTAATATCACATTTTGTAATATAGTAGTTCTGTTTGAATTGATATACTATGATATAATATGATATAATATATTCGAATGTATGTATATATAATAATTTGATATAACATAATATAATAACTATAGAGACATATATGCATATTACTATTTACATCATAATATCGAATATATGAACTTATAAATGAAACACATAAATACAAATCTAAGAATCAAAAATAACCGCCCAATTTTACGGAGGTTACCATGAGCCATATATATATATACTAGTAGATATTAGTTGTGTTGTCTTTAATTGGGTCTTCTGGTTCTTAATGTTTCTTATAAGGTTCAAAACGATTCTTGGCCGATGGTAGCTCCAAGACGGCCAGTTTTTGTCCAAAACTGGCAACTGGTTGGAGGTGTCCACCATCCGAGAATGATCGTTTTGGGATGGGTTATTGAAGAATGATGACCACTCGTTGACTATTTATTTTTGGACGGGTTAAAACCGCCAAGCAATTCTTCGGGGGCGAGTTTCGATCAAACATGTTGGCGGTACCAATCAGCCATGTTTGATATTGTTTGATTAGTGCGGGCGTGTAGAATGAACGCTTCCCATCATATAACACACCACAAATTGTAACCCAAGCAAGCCCCCATTCTACAGCCAGTCTGTCATCATGCTGGTATTTTCCGGTATCCTCTATTTTTCCTAGAATGGTTTCAGGGAAAACGTACAGGAAACTGTTTATTTTGATGGACACATCACAGGGGTTCCGGCAGATGTTTCCATGAAACAACCTACAATGACTTTTAGGCAAAACAAAACAAAAACATACGGAACAAACGACAACTATCCAGATTATATTGTCCCATTCCCATTGTAAAATGTCTTAGGTTTATTGTCCAATCTCTATATCTATATATTGGTTTACCAATCCCAGCTTGAGGCAGATCAATCGAGTCATCAGGCCCACGGACGTGCCCGACACAGGTGCGAAAAGGGAGTGGAACATGGCACTGAGGATTTGGGGTGCTTTACCCTTTGGCAATCAACCATGGTTTGTTGGAAATGTTGGAACACCTTGATTTATAGATGTTTTTACCCATCGTCTATAGGTTCCAGATGATGTTTTCATAGGTGCCCATGTTTTTTCATTAAAACCTCCATTGATCATTGACTGGAATCGGAATGAACATAAAACCAAGCATGATCATTCCAAATTCCAAAACATACCCTCTGGTTATTTAACATAGCCATGGAAAATGGCCCATTTATAGATGGTTTACCTATTAAAAATGGTGATTTTCCATGGCAAACTGTTAAATTATCCAGAGGGTAATTTTTCTAAACTCAGCCAGCTGGTGGGTTTTCTGAGAAATTCCGCCGTCCCCAGGTTTGCTGTGTGACTTACTTTGGTGGGTCATCTCGGAAATCGGGGTCATGGAGACCGTGTTGATGGCGGGTTTTCCACTGAAAAAATCCATGGAGACCGGGTTTGTTTCTCTTTTTTTTGAGAAATTGTGTCGAAATCGCACCAAGGGGCCCTCCAGTACACTAGGTCAAGCACCAATGCACTCTTTGCTGGCTGACAGTAAAGATTTTGCTGTGTGGTGAGGTACCATTCCTGGCTATTGCGCCGATGGTATCCTCTATAGGGGGGCTTTGGGTTGTTAAATACCCCAGGTGATTTGGTGAAAATTTGATGTATTATCCTATCGCCGGGTCAAGACTTGGTGACACAACCCAAGAATCCAACGGTGATCCAACGGTGTTCGAACAGGATTCAATCCCGTCAATAAAAAACTAATTAGATGATATTAGATAATGGATGACTGGTTGGTGGTTTGGAACATGTTTTTTTTCTCCATATATTGGGAATAACCACCCCAACTGAGTAACATTTTTCAAAGGGATTGAAACCACCAACCAGTTGATAAAAGCATATAATCAACATTAACATCAACATTAATTAACATGAATGAACACGAATTAACCAATTGCTGTAATCTGCTGCTGTTGGGAATATGAACCCAGGGTGTCATGCTGACTTAGGGCTTTGCCGTGGTCAAAACCCCAAGGTCAGATCCGGAAAAGGAGATCAGCGGCTGGGGTGAGAATGCCTCTGTCTCAGGGGCTGGAAGCTACGGCTGGTGATTGGTCGCAAAAATTCTCTCGGGATTGGTTGAGGCCACTGTACAATAGCCATCAGCCGACATGATTTTCCATCATCCATCACTCCTGATGCTTAGGACCGTGGTGTGTCATTTACTTTCGGGCCTGATGTCGCCTGAAGCTCAAGTCATCTGATTCTGAAGTGAGGTGAGCAATGCCCGCTTGACATCACTGAAACAGTTTCCGAGAAGGAGAGACCCCGAGTCATCCATTATATAGCTATACAGCACGGGGTAACAGTAGCCATTGGGAGCAACGGTCCCTAATGTCGAACATGTTAAAAGCATGCCTTACGTTATTTATATCGTTCTCAAAGATACAGTACACAATGAATGGTTTTTGTTCTACATGTACTGTACTTCCATCTTTTTGGGTGTAGTCTGATACGGATGTGATCCCACGTTTGCAGATTCTACCGCACGATTGTCCTCAGTTGTTTAATTGTACCAGTTCACAAAGCTGGATTATTTCATATCATTTCATATCATTTCATATCATGTCATATCATTTCATATCATTTCATATCATTTCATATCATTTCATATCATTTCCTTATTTTCAAAAGTCACTATATTATGGCATATTCAATAAATATATATCCTGAAACCTGTTCTACTCCCTTTCCCATCGTTTCTAATTTTAATCCCATTTCCCGAATATTGAATAGCCCCTCAAAGCCGTTGTCTCAACCAATGGGGCCTTGGAACGAGGTCCATGGCTTCTTACGGAAGCATCAGCTGGATTTGGTGTGCCGGGCGCACCAGGTTCGCCATCAGCCAGTGATTTCGAGGATGCTCATGGATGATATGAAGAAAAACATGTGTTTTTCATAGCAAAACTGAGGATTTCCCCAAGAACAACATGGATTTTCACTGCAAGATTTTGCATTGTCGAAGTGAAGATATGTGAAGATTGGGATTGTCCATGTGGCCGTGTTCGATTGTTAGGAGGGGATGGGTTCGGGTTTTAATTAATTACCAATGATAAACCCTAACTGGCTACTTATATTGACATGATATGATATTATGATAAGGTATGATATGAAATTATAATATATGATTTGATGATTAAAAAACATGTGACATTTTTTCTAGATTCTACAGTGCAACCATCAAATGGTAAGCCGTTGGGCATCGTCTCAGGGCTGACGTGGCCCCCCATCAGGTTGTGGAAGACGGCTACGAATTCTTCGCATGTCGCGCGCTTGTGACGCTGTTCAGCGCGCCCAACTATTGCGGGGAATTCGACAATTCTGCCCGAGGACCCAGATATATTATAGCACGAAGCAGGGCATGTTGGACACGAAACGATTGGTGCAGGCAGATCTGCAATAGCTTTAAAAGCAACCTGCCACCTCCTGCCACCTCCTGCCACCTCCTGCCACCTCCTGCCACCTCACTATACATTGTTTGTTGTTTATGCGAAGCACTGCAAAATGTTGACAAAAATAGCCTTGGTTTGGGATATTAAACAAAGATAAACAAAGTATCTATAGCAACTGTATGTTTTAGCATCATTTTCAACAAACTTGAGTGCTTTAAGAAGGCATCTAAATTGTGTAGGTCCCTTGGTACATATGAGCGCTGGTGAAGCGATTTTTGTCCTCCTTTATGGCTGACTACATAACTTATTTGGAAAATGATTACACAATCATTTCCTTACTTTCCCACCTAATATGTGGATATATGTGGATAATATATAAGGTACTCGTATGTTCCCCATCATTTGAGTAATCATATGGTTGTGGTTCGAATAACCACCCAAAGGGGATGGTGGCTCATTTGCGACCGCTACCAGACAGCAAAGTTGTGAATTTAGCCAAAGTTCGTACCCCAAATTACCCAAATCATCCATGTATGGTCTATATGTGTCATTATCTACAATGCGGTGCCACATACTTGGCTAAGTTGGTTGATATCTGGTCAAACTGGGGTTTATGGGAGATACAGATAGTGAATGGGGTTATAATATTTTACAATTCTATAAGCCCACAACCATAAGTTGGGTGGCACCACATTGTACCTGCATTTTCCCTGAGAATCAACCATTTCTTGTTTGAAAATCAGTTGTACAAAATTGATTTAGTTATGATTCAGGGAAAATTATGGCACATATTAAATATATATCATTGATCAACTATGATCAATAAAACATAAACATGTGTATATATATATATAATATAATATAATATTATATTATATTATATTATATATATATGGCAAATGCCTGGGCTTTGCCCGGACGGGAATTTAGATTCTTCTTCATCTTCCCAATTGAATATAAAGTGTCACTGGGGTGATTTTTTTCCCCATTCAATGTAAGTTAAATAAGAATTGACTGGGGATGGGAAGCACATTGCAACGCCGCTAGGCAGCCATCATGACGGTGGACGACCGCCTCTGTTGTGCCTTTCAGATCCTGCGGCCCATGAGGGTCTAGGCTCATGGGGAAATGCTCATGACCCTCTGGGTAAAGAAATTTCATGGGGAACGGGGAAAATGGCAGTGGCAAGGAAATAAGAAATTTGGGGGAATCTATGTTCAGACAAACCAAAGTGGATCAACCTCTCATGGTCCAATGGTCGATTGGAAAAGTGAATGGGGTAGACTAAGCACTAGGGGGCTTTAATCAAGAACTATTTCTGGTTGGGGAAAACATGTTTGTTTATTTAGGGTTACTTTAACAGCCAGGATCCTGATTTCAGACAAGACCACATCTCTTTGGTTCAATTATAGATGATTTTTAGATACGCACAAAGGTTTTTGCATGTTTTTGACCAACAGAATACGGAAGCTTCTAACCAATGGAATTCATACACAATAATAAACCATCCTAATTACCATCCTAATTACCCTTTTGTGACGCTTTATTCTTGTGGACCAGCCATTATTCTGTGGCTCAATGATGGCTTCATTGGGTGCATTTCCCTAGCAAAAATGGGGTAGCAGGGATGACCTTCCCGTTTCATTTGACCTGGCAATTGGACAGTCCTCCTTGTAGCAGATGATTTGCTGGAAGAAAGCGAATATCTTGGTGTGTCCCATTGCCATTGCCATGTGTGTTTCATGTGTTTCCTATGTATATATATAATATTATACATGTATATCTTATGGGTATTTCTGATGGAAAATGGATTATTCCATGTTTATTCCAGTTCCCATTCAAACATGAAGAAATCCTGATGGAACGCGCCTCAGGCGGCCTCCTCTGGGACATCATCGCTGAGGGAAGGGATTTTGGAAGTTCAGTAAAGTACCGCTACCAGAAGGCCAAGAGGTTCTACAAAATTAAAAAATGCTACTGAACACTGAACCAAAGGCGTCACTTGGAAGTGGCTAGCTGGGCCTTATGGTACCAAAAAATGCGGAAAAGTTCGAACGACTTTTGGAAGCTTTTGGGTACTCCCCAAAAAACGGTGGCAAGTTGAGTTTCTAGCTTGACCATTCAGCTACATTGCTGCATTCGATTTGGGGAGTTGGATGTAGGGTCGACTCAACAGATGAAATATCGAACGAAAGGATTCGAACGAAGACGAAAAAAACACGGCCATCAGTGCCTCGCCAAAGCGCTGTCATGCAGATAAGATGCATGCCGTACCTTTAATCCTATCTAATGGATAGGTTAGCCTAATGTCTTCTCGTCTTGGATATCGTTTTATCATGTTTTATCATCTTAATACTTGCATTTTTGTGTTGAACTATATTTAAACTATATATTTAGTAGACTTTGAACTGTAGAAACCTTTATTTGGCTGAAACATGCTGAAACTTCAAGCAACTGTGTCTGACACATTTCCGTTCAAGGCGAAGGCTGTGTCCAACTGCTTCAACTGGAGCCACGGGACAATCTCCCCCATCGCCCCAGCCGCAGCCCGTTGAGGCCGGCGCACGGCAGGTGGATGATTGTAGTGCTAGTGAACCCCAAAAGCGGTTTTGAGATGCCAAAAAAGTGAAAAAGTGTCAGGAATACGGGCGCGATGAATGTGGATGAATTTGGATGATGTTGCCTGTGCGACCTTTTTTTCAGTACATGGATGGTAGGATTTGGGTGATGTGGGTTTGACCAAAAATAGGATGCAGTACCACAAATCCAATGGGTTCAAACAACGATTTAAAATTAGTATAGATTATACATTCTAATCTTGGGATATGCCATGATATACCCCATACACCCCATATTTTTTTTTAGTGGATACACCCATGGCCCATGCAGTATCAAAGAATGTGCGATCTTGCTGACGAGTCCGAATCGAGCATGTCAAATGTGAATCATCACATGACGGATTTAGAACCGAAGCAGTGTCCAAGACCCACAAAAAACATCAATTTATCATACACATACATATTGCTAGATAAATACATGTATAAACATATATATATATAAGAATAGATGATTATAGATGTATACTTATATACGCTCATCATCAGTGTTATTAATACTCATGCAATATGGTGTATCTAGTAAAATTATTACTACGATTGTCTACAAAACAAGAATCTGAAAATATCTACATTTTTTCATCAACGTAAACAGCAACAGACATGTGGATTATGCAGCAATTTGTGTTCAGACTTAGTGGTAACAACTGAGCAGTGTTCAATGATTCAACCCTCCTGCTGGTTGACAATTACTGTATAGGTGATGATATATACTGCCCAATATATCTGGGATTATGAACATCCCTTGTGGGCATCCCTCTCGATTAACTAACCACAACCACCTTTCCATTGAATGATTGAGGCTTTTGAAGACTGCTTGAAAACATGTTTGAAAAAAACATGTTTGAACAACATGTGTGCATAAAAGTCCTTGTATATAACTTCTTGGCCACAGCCACAGCTACATGTAACGTGCGGGTTCCCTCGACTCAACGGTCGATCGCTTCTTGGCTCCAGCGGCGCTGGTAGCAAACACTGTTTAGCCTAGCCGCTACGCGGCGATGGCGGTGGCAAATCCCATGAGACATCCAAACCAATCCAGAAGTTTATGATAAATCCAATCATGAACTTTCATGGATCATTGTCGTGGATTCTACATGTTTGCATTCATTGCTAAAAGGGATTTCGGACCCAACACATCTCAAATTAGAAAATCACACCGGAGCCATGGTGGCAGCAAAGCGCATGCTTTGGGGATGGTGCTTCTGTGCAGTTTTTCAAGGTCCATGACGTAGAAGTGGTTTTGCCTTCATTTTCCATAAGCACCGATATGCACTCCATGTGGTCATAGATTGATCAAAGTCTGTACTGTAATTGTTAATGATTTTTGCGGGACGAAAGTCTATTCACCAATGGTTCGGTAGGTTTGGTGCTCACTAAGGTCCTGTATCAGCGTATTGAATTGAATGGTTTTGACCCATACTTCTCTCAGAAAAGCCAAAGCAATATCCAAAGGTCCAAAGGTGGTGGATATTTTGTGGTTAGCCAAATCCTCGAGTTCAACGCCGGAAGAACATCGATCCGGGATGCGGGGCCGTTCAGGAAGACTGAGACATACAGTAGCTGAGTGACGGTCCAGCTTAAAGGTTTCAGGTGTAGATTTGTGGCTCTTGGTTTCGCAGATCTTCGTGAACATTATTTGAACAGTCAATTTTTACCTGGTTGGTGGTTCAAGCATTTTTTTATTTTCCATAATATATGGGATAATCCTTCCCATTGACTACTATTTTTCAAGATGGTTAAAACCACCAACCAGTTATGTGGGATGCTTCGGATATGTTGAGATGAGCTGAACCCAAACCCATCGACCATGTTTTGAAATTATTCGCTCGATCTCTTCCGCTGGCAGCACCATTGTGCTCAGACACATGAAGCCCATGAAGCATATCATATCTCATACATCAACCCATGTTAGATTGTAACTCAGGTTCAATTAAAGCTGCTTCTGTTCATCACTCGGTGCAATCGCAAATCATTAGATTACATGACATAGATTGCACAGTAGCAGCAGTTCTACAATTCTTAGAGATCCACAGCCTTTGGATACAATTGATTGTAAAAAAATGGTGCAACTTGCAAGACCAACAAGGTAGCAACGCACACACACACAAACACACGCAAAACGAGCTTGACTTCAGAGCTAGCCATTCCGGTGGCTGAAACTTCGCTGATGGCAAATGCTGGGGACCAAGTCAGAGATGATGATGATGATGATGATGATGATGATGATTATCATAACAATAATGATATCAAGGCGTATCTTTGGGAAGATGTCATTCCTCCCCTGTAGCACTCAAACTTGGCTATGGCAGACATGCTTTATTACTAAGTTTCAATACATATTACAAATAATATATATATATATATATTATAATATATATTATATATATATATTATATATATATATAGATTTATTTCCCTATTTATTTCCCTATTTATTTCCCTAGTTATTTCCCTATTTATGTCCCTATTTTATGTCCCTATTTTATTTCCCTAATTTATTTCCCTAATTTATTTCCCTATTTTATTTCCCTATTTTATTTCCCTATTTAATTTCCCTATTTATTTCCCTATTTATTTCCCTATTTTTCCCTATTTTATTTCCCTATTTTTTTTCCCTTTTATTTCCCTATGTATTTCCCTATTTATTTCCCTATTTATTTCCCTATTTATTTCCCTATTTATTTCCCTATTTATTTCCCTATTTATTTCCCTATTTATTTCCCTATTTATTTCCCTATTTATGTCCCTATTTATTTCCCTATTCATTTCCCTATTTATTTCCCTATTTATTTCCCTATTTATTTCCCTATTTATGTCCCTATTTATTTCCCTATTTATTTCCCTATTTATGTCCCTATTTATGTCCCTATTTATTTCCCTATTCATTTCCCTATTTATTTCCCTATTTATTTCCCTATTTATTTCCCTATTTATTTCCCTATTTATTTCCGTATTTATTTCCCTATTTTATTTCCCTATTTATTTCCCATATTTATTTCCCTATGTATTTCCCTATGTATTTCCCTATTTATGTCCCTATTTATTTCCCTATTTATTTCCCTATTTATTTCCCTATTTATTTCCCTATTTTATTTCCCTATTTTATTCCCATATTTATTTCCCTATGTATTTCCCTATGTATTTCCCTATTTATTTCTCTATTTATTTCCCTATTTATTCCCCTATTTATTTCCCTATGTATTTCCCTATTTATGTCCCTATTTATGTCCCTATTTATTTCCCTATTTATTTCCCTATTTATTTCCCTATTTATTTCCCTATTTATTTCCCTATTTATTTCCCTATTTATGTCCCTATTTATTTCCGTATTTATTTCCCTATTTATTTCCCTATTTATTTCCGTATTTATTTCCCTA